GCTAAATTGCCCAGGTTGGCCTTGAACTTTTGCTCCTCCTCTCTCGTCCTCCAGAGTCTATGCATCAGTGGCTTTTTCCTTTGAGTGGCATCTCCTTTGTTCCTTGGTTTCTCTCCAGGTATTTTCATCACCTGGATGCATCACTCAATAAAACCTCTCCCTGGAACAGGCCAATTTGCCTGTGTGCAAGAGGCTGCTCCTTACACACTCCCACAGGTGCCCCCCACCTTCCTGCTCCACGCCAAACTCCATCTCTAGTAAGGAGCCTGTGCTGTTCTTCCTTCTCCTTCCCCAACCCGGTAGATCTCTTAGGAGTCCTCCCCTGCTCACAGGATTTTCAAGCCTGCAGTTAAAGCCTGGGGGGTCTCCAATATCTAAACCTAGTAGAGGATGTCTGGTTTCCTCCCGTTTTTCCCTTAAACTTCAAGAGGCGGCCCCTCCCATCCTACCATCTCCAGCACAAAGCCACGCTCACCTCGACCCCTGCTCAGTCCAGCTCAGCGTGAAGTCCCCTCCTTCATGCCGTTTGGCCATCATACCAGCTGTGTGCTGATGGGTATTTTCCTCAACTCTTTTGGATTTGCTTCTACCTCCTCGAGGAACTTGGTATGTGGCTGACATTAAAACAGCCCGGGCTCACTTGGTCTTTCTTCTGAGCACCTAACACTATGCTCTCCTTCTCCCAAGGTGCTGAGCTTTAATTCCATTCTCCCAATGTGCAAATGACCTGATTTCCCCCCACCTTCATCTGTCAGGTGTTCCCCCTCTTGTCTTCTAAAAGCAAATGAAAATAATGCCTCCCACATCACTCACTGCGGCTCTGTAAAAACCTTACCGGGCCGGCAGTCACTGTGGGTGGAAGGGAAGCTACCGCTCAACCTCAAGACCTCCACAGGAAGAGGATATGGGCACAGAGCAAGATATATCACTTTTTTTGTTTTGTTTTGTTTCTTTTATGTTCAGGCTGGCCTTGAACTCACAGCAATCCTCCTGCCTCAGCCTTCTGAGTGCTGGGGTCCCAGGTGTGCACCACCACACCCAGTATAACTGCTTTTCACACCCACTTGTCCAAATTCCAAGCAACTAAGGATGGTGCAGAGAGCTTTACAGTGGGACATGAGGGCTCTACCAGTTCAGGCTGAGGTCATGCACCTGACTTCAGAGCCTTATTGTAAAGTGGGAATCATGACAAAACCCAGGGGCTGGGCCTGGTAGACCCCATTACTCAGGAGATGGGGGCAGAAGGATCACTTGAATCTGAGTTTCAGGCCAGCCCGAGCAACCCAGTAAGACCATCTCAAAAAGAGAAACCAAACATATGCCTGTGACTTCAAATGTCTGACAATGAGAAGCCAAGTTTTCCTCTCTTTCTGTATATCCCCAAGGGTATCATGTTTAGGTTTTTATCTTACTTCAGACCACTACTGTGAATCCTTTTAAAGATTAAGTAGCACAATCAACTGTTCCTGGGTGGTGGTACTGCGGATTGAACCTGGGGTCTTTGCATTAAGCTTCATGCACATCCCTAGTCCTTTATTTTTTTGACAGAGCTTCTCTAAATCACCCAAGCTGATTACAAGTGGGATTACAAGTGTGAGCCACCATGCCCAGCATTTTTAAGGAAAACCATACTAATTTGTTTCTTTATTTTTGAGATAGGGTCTCACTATGCACTGCAGGGTGGCCTTGAATTCATGGATACTCCTGCTTCAGCCTCCTGAATGCTGGGATTATAGGCATGTGCTACCATGCCTGCAAAACCATATTCGTTCTTACACCAAGAACTTCCTAGTAACAGGGCAGATGTAGCTCAGTGGAAGAGTATGTGCTTAGTATATGCAATATCCTGATTCGATCACACATCTGTTAAGTTTTCCAATCACAGTACATCCCTAAAAGGCTAAAATTATTAGGATTCTTAAGATCCCAAGTTCTTGATTTGTCATACACCGACTGGGCCATTTGTTCTAGATGAGTTGTTTCCCTGTGTGAGTCTGTGCAGGTAAACATGGCTTCCCAGTAAGCTTGGTGTAAGACACCACAAAATTCCTATAAAATGCCATGTTATATTTTAGGTTTTATGGACCACGTTATCTCTTGCTTCATCTTTTAAAAAATTAACTTTAAAATGTGTAAAAAAATGTTCATATGCACTGTGTGACCTAGGCCACAGCAGGATCTGGCCTTGCAGGCTGCATTTGCCAACCCCTGGCCCAAAGGACTGGGTTGTTAACCAGGTGAGGTGGCACAAGCCTATAATCTCATTACTCAGGAGGCTGAAACAGGAGAATCAACTTCATGAGTTTTGGGTCAGCCTGGGCCACATAATGAATCCAAGGCCAGTAAGACCTTCTCTCAAAAGGAAAAAAAAAAAAAAAACTGGGCTCTAAGAGCTTTTAGAACATATCTTCAGGTTCTCCCAGTCCTGGAAACAGCACACACACAATAGACATTTGAATGGTCAGTAAAAGTGGCCAACTACTACAAAATCACCCTTAGTCTTGGGGCTGCAAATGACAAAGGAAAACGCCAACACTGCAAAGCTTCCCACTCACAATTTTGTGTTCGCTGGGTGACCTGGCTGAAATACTCTTTTCTGATTACAGCTCTTGGTCATATCACCATGAGACACTGTTCCAAAGAGCTGGCCCTAGACCTTCAGAAACTGAAGACAAAGGGAAACGTGGAGAAAAGGCAGGCCCGATCTTCTATTGAAATACAAGGGGGGGAAATGGAAGTATTGTAAGATCAAATATTTTAAAAAGCAGACAAGTTAGAGCAAAAATGTTTTATTATTAAAATAAAAAACCTTTTGTGTAAAAGCATTACAGATCAGAAGGTGTATTTACACTTAATGTCTGAAGGTCTCTTTAGCTATCACTCAACATGAATCGCAACAGCTACACATGCAGGTAAACCGGACACTGTAGAACGACTTAATACAAAAGGGAAGGGAGGATGTACAAAATAGGCCCAGAAACAAAACAGAAAGAGATGTTAACAGACTACTGAAAGGTACCATGTCCAAAAAGATATTTCTTGTTATACAAAAAGTGCTTAAAACCTCAACCCTGTACATAGCAACCGGCAGGGATAATTTCTTCAAGAACCACACAAGCCAGAGCAGCTATCAATACCAAGATTCCACACTTTTATGCAAGGGATTCCTGAACTTTTCACCAACCGAATTCCCCAGAAGGTCTTTTCTACTGCAGTTTTAAGCAGCATATATAACGCTGCTCACAAACCTCTGGACAACTGGTTGAGCCACTTAACCTCAGCAACCAAGCAACACACTCTACTTTGCAACAATTACCTAACTTTGTCGCATGGCTTTAAGACATGGTGCCTTGCTAGGCGTGGTGGTGCACGCCTTTAATCCCAGCACTCAGGAGGCTGAGACAGGAGGATTGCTGTGAGTTCGACACCAGCCTGGGCTACATAGTGAGTTCCAGGTCAGTCCCAACTACATAGTGAGACCCTGTCTCAAAAAAAAAAAAAAGTATGTGAAGGTACAAGATCCCAGTAATGAATGTAACTGTACTGTATACCTAGAATGTACCAAAAAACTCAATAAAAACAAAACAAAACAAAAAAAGACTTAGGTGCCTTGATTCTGTTAAAAAGCCAATCAGGGTGAACTCTAAATTATTCCCATTGTTTGTGTGTAAACAAGTTAGAAGGTTATTCACTGGAATTCGACAGAACAATGAGTTAACACTTCCATGCTTCTAAGTGCTTGGGTTTATGGGAAGGTTCCAGGGCTATTTCAACAGTTATTAAATCAAATATACACTCACTAATTAAAAAGAATCTGAGGGCCAGGGATACAGCATGGTGGTAGAGCACTTACCTAGCGTGTACAAGGCCCTAGATTCCAGCCCTAGTACCACACACACACACACACACACACACACACACACACACACACACATAAAAAAATGAAAAGAACTGGAAACTTAAGTGGCGGGAAGGGACCATGGAAATAGGAAAACTGAGGTGGGGGCCGGGGACGCAGAGAAGTGGCAGAGGGTAGGTGCCACTAGGAAACCACTTTGATGATGTTCGAGAAGCACTTGTGAATCTAATGGGATTAACCTGATCTGAGAGTCATATAAAACAGACTGATCATCATGATTCTTAACTCAGGTTTGATCAACAACCAAACTGAAAACTTCAACTAGAAGATGTGAGGACTGGAAAGCAGGCAGCCAATCTCTAGGCATTATGTGCTTGCATTTCAAACTCCTGTTTCAGACTGTGAAAAAAGAAAAAAAAAAAAAAAAAAATGTCAGGATGTTTTTGACCTATGAATTCTCTTTTGAAAGCCATCTCCCCACCTTGAAACACTGAGGCTTGAACCTAGGGCCTTTGCACTGAGCTACATCCCCAGCCCCTTTCAAAATTTTTATTTCAAGACAAGGTCTCACAAGTCACAAAACTGCCCAGGCTGGACTTGAACTTGGGTGTTTTTTGTTTGTTTTTAATGCAGTACCAGCGATCAAACCCAGGACCTTGTGCTTATGAGGCAGGTGCAACACCACTGAGCTAAAATCCTGGCTCCCTTGTTTGTTTTTTGAGACAGGGTTTCACTGTATATTCCAGGCTGGCCTCAAACTCATAGATTACAGGCGTGCACCTCTATGGCCTGGCATTGGGCTAGAATCTGGGAACCTCCTGCCTCTGCCTCCCAGAGTGCTGGGATTACAGGAGTGTACCACCATACCTGGCTTAATTTTCTAAACAATATTTGTACTGAGTCATAACATGTACATGGTCAAATGCACACACCAAGTGTACGATCTGAATTTTACACATGTCCACCTGGCTACCACCTCTCCAATGAGAAAATGTTTCCAGTGCTCCCCATGTGGCCCTTCCGGTCAATACTCACACTATCCCTGCCTTAGAGATAACACAATTCTGATTTCTAGCCTCTTTTTATTAAGATGCATCAATGAAGGTAAGATTCAGGTGTGGAAGAGAGAAACGGCTATTACCTCTTCAGGTAGGCATGCACATTCCCGAAGCCATGGTACTTCGCTAAATACACAAGGACCCCAGTCGCACACCGTCCATCTCGCTGGCGACAAAAACTGCAGTTACAGATCCCTCGACAAGGTGGGCAGTGCCAGTCCTGAAGGGCAGTGTGAAAAGGGACTGTGAAACCCAAGCTGTGAGCATTCGGGCCAGGCTTAGGCCTGTGCGCCCTAACACTACGAGTTCATCTGCACCCCACCACAGGAGCAAGCGCCTCCTAATGCGAAGAGCTCTGGGGCTTCCCTGGGGCAGCTAGGGCTGAGCTTCAGGTGCCCCCCTCCCATCAAGGCACCTACCGGGTCCAGCAGTGCATCCTTCACCTCCTCACCATAACGGTTTCGAAGGCAGGGACCACAGAATTGGCCTCGGATACCCCAGCAGTCTGGGTTTCTACAGTTTGTTTTGGTATCAATAGTCTTCTGACGGCACTGATGGCAAGTAGATCCCTGCAAATAAAGAGCAAGTAAGGAAAAATCTTACATCAAATGACCTTTTTGTAGAGAGAAATGGTGTATCTAAAGAATGTCCCTGACCACAGGGCAGCGTGTCATTTTCTTTGGACCTTTCCTATCTCCACGTACTCGGGTACATGGCACAGTATGAAAAGCATCCAAAGCAAGAGGCCTGCACTGTGTTATCAGATGGCTTTCTTTTCAGGGATGGACAGCTCCGTGGTAGAGCCCTTGTCTAGTATGTGTGAGGCCAAGTTCAATGCCAGCAACCACAAAAATCTGCCCCAATTCTTTTTTCTTTCATACACTGCAGCATCTGTGCATACACACGTACTAGATACACAATAAATGTGTTGAATGGATCCACTTCTAAATTAGAAAAACAGATTTGATACTACGAAGCAGGCAAGTAATCGAGCAGCACAGGGCTACCAGGAATAGTAAACTCTTCATTGCTTATATGGAGACATGCAGGCTCACATCCTTCTGCCCAGACCTTTCACCACCAGCAGCACTCCAGGGCTGGAGGCAGCCACCCCTCATGCTGTCGACTTTCCAGGCAGGGGTCAGGAGCTCTCACCAGTGAGCGGTTATAGATCTTCTCTCGAGAGTTGCTGCAGATGTTCTCCAACTCGTCCTCAGTGATCTCTTCCACTGGACGAATTATATGCGGAAGGGTCATGGCTCCTGGGCGACGACCTCTGGGTATGTCATCGTCCTGTGTGACAAGCACAAGACAGGGTTCCTTACTGGTTCTCCCCAGCTCTGAATCTCAGATACTTGATTTGTACCTTCTTCATGGAAAATTTCTCTTCCTTATGTAAAAGGGGCAAGTTATAAGTTTATTGTGAGAATTGGACCCTATGGAAACTGAGAAAAGCTGAAGAAAACCTGACTCTGATCTACTAACAAAAAAAAAAAAAAAAAAAAAAAAAAAATCAAAGGATCAGCATTCTGAAGTCCTTTGAGCCTGAGGCAGGAGAGTCCCAAGTCTGAACCCAGCCTGGGCAAACCTGGCAAGACCAGTCTCAGAATGAAAACGAAGGGTTAGGGTTTTTAGTTCAGTGGTTTCGCTGCTTGCCTTGCAAACACAAGGGCCGGAGTTCGATCCCTGGTACCAAAAACAAACAAAAAGAATGAAAATTAAAACAGGGGCTGGAGATGGGGCTCAGTGTGAAGGCCCTGGGTTCAAACCCAGTACAAAAAAAAAACAAAAAAAAATCAAATTAAGTTTATAAGACATTAACAGTCGGTTTGAGGACAAATTTAAGTTGGTTCACTGGGTGTTGAGGTTGTATATAGTGATACTGGGCCAACAGAAGACAAAGTACCAATGCGTCCAAGGCCTTCCTTTTTCTCACGAGCATGTACTTGTCATCCTCCTCATCCTCCTCCTCTTCAGTGGGGAGAACACTGAGGGACCCCAGGATCCGAGACCTGGACCTGGTAAGTGGCCGGGCTCTCCGCTCTGGGTTCCTCCTCCGTGAAGCCACACCTGGGAATGTCCGCCTTCGGGGTGTCTTCAACTGCTTAACAAAATAGGATGGAATCTTGTTTATTTCCTAAGAAAGACAAGCAGTACTTTGGAAATTTTACATCTTTTCCTTAAGGAGTTTCCTTTCAAGTAAAAAGAGAGTTTCATTTTTCTCATTTTGTCTTTTTATAATACATGGAAAATAAGCCCAAAACCCACAAGGCCACTGTAATTTTGTAAAACCAAGCCCAGGTTCTCTCAAATTAATCTCTTTATTCTTCTACTTAATAAAGATGTAAAATCTGATTTCCTGTTCCAAAAATACTTCTGTACTACATCTCTTGAGCCCTGGAACATAGGCACCATTTCTATATTCCACAAAAGAATGCTTGGCTCTCCCTCTCTTCCTACCTTGCGGGCGTCTGTCTGGCCTCCTGGGGACAGACAGGACAGAGTAGGCTTTCCTTTTCTACCACAGCAGCTACACCAAATTTCCCTCTGTCACTGCAGCCTACAATCATATATGACAGCAGGCCATAACCTGATAAAGAAATTGCTTTCCTTACTCTTGGGCTTACTACACAGCTACTGTGCAGGATAAATATGGTAAAGCCCAGAAACAGAAATAAGTCTTTGAACTTGGTTCAGCCTAGCTGGGAAGGACAGAAGCAATCAGTTTTGAAAGCCCGGGGATGGTGGTACATGCAGCACTCAGGAGGCCAAGGCAGAAGGATCACCCCAAGTTAGAAGAAAGCCTGGACTACATACATAGCAAGACCCTGTCTCAAAAAAAAGTTTTGAGAACCACATGGGTAGGGTGAAGGCCAGTTTCTAGGATGCAAGAAGGCTTCTTCTAGTTCTCCTTTGACTGCCTACATCACAGCAATAAGGAGATTAGATTTTATAATCCCACAGAAATCTGCTCTAGGATTGCCCAAAACAATATCACACAAACAATGAATCACACTTACTGATCTTGGTCCTGGGAAAGGTCTTCTGGAGAATGAACCAGGAAAACTTTCTAATTCTGACATGAGTTTTGCAAGCTAAAAAGCATAAAAATTAGTGGTTTAGAAAAGAAGCAACTAACTTGTAAAGATTACGCTGGCACGTCTCACAGCTTTAACAAGTTGACATTCAAAAGAGTCTCTGATTTCTCTTCTGTAGTTAACTAAATCATTAACATGTATTTTAAAAAGCAAAGTTTAGGGAAAGGAATGCTTAGGAATGCCTTTTTTTTTTTTTTTTTTTGATGCTACTGATTGAACTCGGGGTGACAAAGAACACATTCTACCACTGAGCTACATGCTCGGCTCCAAGAAATGCATTTCAAGAATATATGATAAAAGTCTTCACAGCTATACAGAAATAATTCTAAGTTAACAAACTGCTCAGGGAAAAGCTGAGAAGAATCAATTCAAAGTCGGATACTTACCATGGCTTTGTTTTGCTTTATATTTAAGGCTCTTTTTTCCAGAAAGTTCATGCCACTTTCATCTTCTGAATCAGAATTGGAATTGGTGGCAGAATTCTCCAAGGGCTGTGGGGGCAACATCTTTTTGTTGGCTGCCCCCCTGGTGCTCCGCACTGGGAATTTCATGGCCACCATGAGAGGGCCGGAGGGTCTGGCCTGGCTGCGGGTCCTGCAGCCCTCTCGGCCTGACTGCAGTCTCTAGAGAATCAGAGCGATTGAGTCTCAAGGACATGTTGATGGAAGGTAAGAGTCGCCTCGCCAATTTGACTACAAGGCACTTTAGCAAATGAATTTTAACTGAACATTGGGGCAACTGATTATTTGGGTTAACAAAATCAAGATATACAAATAAATTTTGTACCCTACGTGTACTGTGACTCTGCACAGCCTATATGGGACACACTGAACCATCTGAGAAAAAAATACCATCCATGAAGTTCCAGAAAAGACTCATTTTCTTTTTCCTTTTGGGGTACTAGGGATTAAACTAGGGCCTCTGCAAAGAGACCCATCTAGCCGTTTTGAGACAGGGTCTTGCTAAGTTTCTAAACTGCCCAGTATGGGCTTGAACTTGCAAATCCTCCTGCCTTAGCTTCCCAGAGCTGGAATTATAACCATGAGCTAGCTACCACACCCAGGTTGTAAAATTCATTTTTAACATCCCAAAGTTTCTTAACACAGCCAGGCGTGGTGGCTCATGCCTGTAATCCCAGCACTCGGAAGGCAGAGGCACGAGGATTGCAGTAAGTTTGAGGCCAACCTGAGCTACACAATGAGTTCAGCTGGCCTGAACTACAAAGTGAGACACTGTCTCAAGAAAACAAAAAACAAAACAAAACAAAACAAAGTTTCTTAACATGCTGGAGGTGTGGCTGTGGTAAAATGCCTGCATGAGGCCCTGGGTTTGACCCCCCCAGCACAAATAAAGTGAATAAACAAAAATTTCTTAAATCCCCATGGTTTTTGGTACCATTTGTGTACTTTTTCGTGTCTATGGAGAGAATGCAAAGCAACAAGAAACTTTTATAGATTCTTTGCACTTTTAATCAACTAGCACTTTATTAATCACAACGTGCAGTTTCTACGAAGACTCGAATTACTGCCCCAAAATTATTCAGGCTAGTGATAATGGGGCACTGCCAGATTCACAGGCTGGCCGTGCAGTAAGCATCCACTGGGGCCATCATCAGGTGTCAGAGGAAACCTTGCTCAGTGCTCCCGGGCCAGGTGGTGTCACTCAAGACAGTCCCGGAGCAGAGCTGTGCCATGCCACAGTGAGGTGGAGATGTGTGTGCACCCACCTGCAGGGAACCCCGTTTCTTCGCAGTAAGTCTGGGACAAGAACAGGCCTGCAGAGCTAGGCATGTGCTCAGACGTGGGGCAGGTGTAGCAACAGCAGCAGCCTCAGCAGGGTAACAAGTTAAAGGGGAAGGCACATGCACAGGAAAAGCAGACCAAGGCGCAGACAGAAGCAGCAGGAAGGCCCTACTTGTCCTTGTGTGCACTGAGCTCCTGCCCTGGAGGCCTCTTGGTTCTTGGAATGCGGGTACAGAGCTAACTGTAATCCAGTTTGTCAAAGGTCTGCTGTGTGCCAGGCACTGGGCGGGGCACCTGCACATATGCACAAATGCAGCTCATCTTTAGGGCACAAGCGCCTGCTTCCTTTCATCAGGCTGGATCTCTGTGGTAGTCATGGAAATCTGCACTTTGGCCAGCTTTATTTAACAAGTTTCCATGATTTTCAGAACCCACAAAATGTTTGAGATTTACAAACAGGGCTACAGTAGTAAAAACTGCTCCAAGATATGAATATTCAAAAAGTTTAAATGGTCAACAAAATCCCTGACATGACTAAAACAAAAACTGAAAGAAAAATTTTTTCAAAAAGCAAGCATGTCATGCCTTAAGTGTACCTTACTTCTTGAAACTGGTGAAATTCTCAGACTCACCATTCCATCTTGTATCTCACTCTCTGAGAAACCGCAAAATGATTCATCGTCAGAGTCGGCATGAAAAATACTGGCCAGTTCGTTAGTGACATCTGGCCTTGGTTTCTGTAAAAATCCACAATGGTCTAACACATCTTGCACCTCACTTTCTGAAAAGCCGCAGAAAGATTCATTATCAGAGTCCTCATAAAAAACATTTGCCAGTTCTTCACTGATATCTGACCTGAATTTAGGTTTCTGTAAAATAAATAAATAAATGTGGTTGTGCATTTTTTTTTTCTTTTTCAAGAACCAATTTTCCATAAACCGTGCAGAGAGCAAATCACATTTACAAGTGCACTACAAGAGAATAGCTTTTGTTACAAAGAAAAATGGTTCAGAGGTTTACAAATGATTTTTGAGTTGTTATGGCAAATCATCAGGCATGTTAGGTTAGGCGACATTTCAAAAGGATAGAATAAGTAGCTAATCTACCTCCAACAATTACTACCTAGAACCACGGCAAAAAGTGAAATAAAATTACAGTGCATACTGTATTTTCATAACGGCTGTATAGAAATGTAGGCAAAAAGCAAGCAGTTTTAATCACGTACAAAGCATTTGGGGCATTTTGAGCACTGCAGACTCAATTCTGTTTATTCTCAGGCAGCACTTACCGTGTTTGCAAAATTATCAGAAGCAAAGCTGTCACAACTGTCATCAGAGGATGATGACATTTCCATGGAAATCAACTTCATATATCTGAATTTCTTTACATTCTTTACTCTGAGATCCTTCTGCTGCAAATGGAAATGGCAATGGAATGTTTATTAACTGTGATGTTTACTGTAGTGGCTAAGTAAAGACATCATTTTTGAGTTTAAACAGCAAAGTAGATATGTTCATTTCTCATAACTTACAGAGGAAAAGCTGTGCAATTGCTACAAAAAATTTTTTCCAAACCAGGTCACATTTTAAGAGGGATCCCTTTAGAAAAAGAAAAATGTAATGACATTTATCAATTTACTGAAACATCTGCATAGCTACCTCTTCCTACCTTAGGCCCTAAGCACTTAGCATTATGCTAGGTGCCACAGGAATTCAATGCTAAACTCCTAAAATCTAATCTTACTTTTTAAAAAATCGAACTGTACTTTAAAAGGACATTTCAAAAGTACAAAATGGCAGAGCAATTTTCTCTCCTTCAGCCAAAATCAAGCTAATGAGGTCTGGACTATGTATGTACTGTGTTGGTAATTTCCCCAACTACCAAAATTGGGCAGGACCTAGTTCAAGATGGCAGACTTCCAAACAGGCCGCATTCCAGTCAGGAGGGGTACAGTGATTTCGGTAGGAGCCCTTACAGAACAAATGTATGAGCCCAGTAAACACATAGTAAAAGCCAAGTTAAAGATCAAACGGCACTCCAAACCAGGAGGAACACCCGGCTGCATTTCAGCCTCTATGTCTGCCATTCAGCTTTCTGCAGGCCCCTCACTAAGACTTTTTTTAGGGAAAATGCAGCTCAGTGGCAAAGGCCCTGGGTTTGATCCCAGTAATCAGAAAAATAAAAGGACAACTTTTTTAGGAGTCCTTCCATACCGTGCACATTACTTGTAGATATATGAAAATGCTCCATTCATTCATGACATTAAACGGCCCTGCACTGCTCGTTGGAAATGCAACTGGAATCTTGTGTAAAAAGGATAGTCATTTGTGACTCGTCTTAATGAGATTTCTTAAATTCCATTAGTTCCTACATTTTTATTCCTTTACATAGGGGCCTAGAGTAGAAGTTGAGTCCTTACACTGAAAGGGTGAATGAACAAGTTCTGCTCTAGGTCTCAGAAAACAATGCTAAGATGGGAGGAGTCAGATGTGCAAAATGTTCTTGACTTCCTTCCTCACCCAACACTGCCTTTCAGTCTCCAGCGAATAAAAAGTTTGTGCAAAGATGGCAACCTAACCTCCCTATGCCCCTATTAGGCCACCCAATCACTTTAAAAAGTGTCTATCTTTCTGTCCTTAGGTACCATTTTCCGGATGAGGAAATGCAAACCCGCAGGAAGGAGAAAGACTGCACAAAAATCACAGGGCTGGAAGAACGCTAGTCTGCAGCCTCCTAAAAGAGCAGTGCTCCTTGCATTACTTTGGGGACTCCTGGAACTTAACTTATCTACCTGGAGCAGTCAGAGCCCACAACAGCCTCAAGGGAGGCATTCGATAGAGGGATGTCTTGGGAATACACGCTGAGCTTTAACAAGCCAGAACAAGCCAAGTTATTTACTTGGCAAAAAACATCCTTGGAGAAAACACAGAAGAAAAGCACATGCTCCAGACTGAGATGGGCTTTTTTGTCGAGCTTAATAAGCGACACCACCCATGGGGGGGGGCACGCTCACACCTGGCGCTAAATTAAATGCTTCCAATTCTTGCCTGCAAAGGTACTCACTTCCTTTACAGAGGAGGAAACTTTAGTTCGGAGAGGCGAAATGGATTGTTCAAGTCACTGCGGGACACATTTGAATGCTAGACGGTTAATACCTGGTTTCCGCAGGCTGGAAGCCCGGGCCCATTCCACCTGGGCAGTGACCGCAGAGCCCCCGCCCCCGCCCGCCCCGCCCCCTGCCCCCCGCGGATAACTCAAGCACATCCCGCTCTTCCTTTCCACCCAACCCCCACTTTCCTCCCCTCTCCTGGGCAGGCCCTAAATTCTGGCTTCCGTTAGAGCAAAGAGTAACGTTCTGTTCTGGGCAACTTGCAGCTGCGACAGGCGGGGTGGGGGAAGAGAGAGTGGGGGCGACTTGGACCACGCCAGGGAACGGTCTGGATCAGCGGGCGCTTCTACGCCGCCCGGGACTAAAATTACACCTCCACCCCACCGTGCACCACCCAAGTTCTTACAGTGCAGCGTTTGCAAGACCTTCACTTGCAGGGCAGGCGCACGTGCCGGGTCCCCGCGTGCAGGCACCGCCGCGAGCCGCTCTTCTCCCTCTGCTCGCGCGCGAGGACGGAAACGTCCAGTCCCCCGAGCCCTGAGTTGCGCCGAGTGCACAAAATCTGGAGCTTCTCACCCCGGCGACGCCCAGGACAGACACCAGTTGATAAGCTCCCCCCGGCTGCACGGTCCTCGGGAGCCGCCCGT